TTTATCTTCAGTAGTTACTAAAATATCGCAGTTTTCGTATTTCTGGAAATTACCGTTATATGGGAAGTGGGCGTGGTTACAGTCCGATTTCGCCCATTTTCAATAGCAACCTACCTTGGATTAAGGGAAACCTACATACCAAATTTCGTTGAGATATCTCAATTTTTACTCGAGTTATCGTGTACACGGACAGACGGACAGACGGACGGACAGACAGACATGGCTTAATCGATTTCTTTTTTCATCCTGATCATTTATGTATACATTTGTCTATATCTATCTCGATTCGTTTTGGCTGTTACAAACAACCGTTATGTGAACAAAATTAATATACCCTTGTGCACAAGTGCGCTCGGGTATAAAAATCGCTCTTAAACAATTATTTTTTAACTTTTATTTAATTATTCCTTAAATAGCAGTTTTTTCTAATTTTTATTTTATAAATCCAAAATAAAAATTATTTTTGATTTGTATCTAAATAATCTGCAAATAACAGTTATTTTTGATTTTTAAATTATATATCTTAGATAACGGTTTTCGAAGACATTTATTTATAAAAGTTGTCAATATAAATCAGTCACTGACTTTTATTTAAAAAAAAATACCTATAAAAGTCTTTTGTATAAGGCTTAGTAAACTTTAGTTCTCCAACACATTCTTAACTGCGAAAAATGATAATGACTTTTATTTATTTATTTATTTACTTATTTATCTAACGTTTATTATGAAAATCGAAAATAACTGTTATTTACAGATTATTTAGATACAAATAAAATATGATTGTTATTTTGGATTTATAAAATAAAAAACATGAATTTTTTTTTCTAATTTTGCATAAAAACTACAAATATTTTTTTTTTTTTTAATTTGGTTCTCGGTGAAAAACGAAATCGATAGGTATGTATCACTTAGTTGTAGAACATTTCCTTCATAGGGAATTTTTCCATGACAGTTTCCATCAATAACTGTTATGTTCGGTCCCTGCTATATAGTGCTGGGTTTGAGGGGATAGTGTGTTTTCGAATGCAATTTGATAACTAAATTTAATTTTTTTTGTAAGTATGTACTTGCTTGAAGAAAACGCAGTTAACAAAATCATTCCTAACCATTTATGATCACAAAAAATATTTATCCGATGATAGCTGAAAGTAATGTAGTTAGGCACCTCCAAAATAAATAGAAGACAAATTGCGAGTTTTAAAGATTTAAACTACATAAGGATATTTTTCAATTGTTTTAACATTTAAGAAAATATTTTAATTGTTAATAACAGTCTTAACAGATTCTATGGAATTTAATGGCACTTAATGTCTTTTTCGTTACTCCTCACAAAACTAATAAAGCAAACCTTATTTTTAGAAACTAAGTTTTCCTTCACTGCAGGCATGCAATAATATACATACATACGTATGCACTGTTTACTTCAATGAATTTTCCACTCAACAACCAGTTTAGTTGACTGTTTTTGTTATTTTCGCAAATGTCGCAAAACTTTTGCAAATTGCTGTCATTAAATTTTAATAAAAGTCTGTTTAACTTTATATAATAAAATCATCGCCTATTACTACTACTAACGCAGCACAAGTACATGAGCACAAATATTTTAAGTTTATCCAAGCATAATCTTTTACATGCCTTGCCCTCGTAACCCTGCTCGGTGCGCTTAAAATGCTTAAATTGCACTGTTCTTAGTGTGTTTAGTTGTCTGCCAAAACTTATCAAAGTTCAACACAACTTCTATTAACTTATACTGCACATACATATATGCACTGTGTACTAAGTACATAAGTATGTTAGTGGGTAGTTAACGGAAGTTTATAGACGACAGAATGTTTGCCCAACTAAAATAAACAAAAATGTTGTAACCGTTCAACAAGTTATGCCACTTTGCAGTTAAAACTCTTTCAATTTGGGTTACACTTTGATCTTGCCGGAGGATATTAAAATTGAAAAACAAAAATTTGGAATTGTTTATAAAAAAAAACTCTCTCTTACCAGACGAAAAAAATAAAACCCATCTAAAAAAGGAATTGGTTATTTTTTTGTAATTTTGTTTACTTTTAGTCGCAATCACTATTTCAAGCGGTATATCTCCTTTTAGCGGACGTCGCACAGTGGTGCAAAAAAGGTTGATGTGGAAAAATCAATTTGGAGAGCACAAATATGCACCGATTTCAAGTTTCTTTTTTAATAAAAGATAATTAAATAAGAATCTTCCACGAGAATATTTAATTACTTTAAAAAAAATATAACTTTTAAGTTAAGCCGTGGGAGTAAACGTGTAATTTGACTGCGTATGGTGCTACGGAGGGTATATGTACGTTACATACACAACCAGGGGTATATGAGCACGAGTGGGTTATTTTCACTTTTTTTTAGTATTTTTAAGCTTTCATTTAAACACAATTTTTCGATGGAATCTTGTTTTTTGTATGAAACTGAAGATAATGCATTTTCTGAGATAACTGTGCCACCATTTTCAACCAAAAACACGTTTTTTGTCTAAAAATATAACAGTTCGTGAGATTTTCTCATATTTACTCCTCTAGAACGCAGAATAATTCGTCGGTCGTATTGGCGCAGCGGGAATTCGGGCGCAGATTTCACGATCGTGCGAAACGAAACTGTACGGGGTTTAGCCGATCGCCTAGAAGAGTATGGGACAACAACAGATTGTACAAGAATATCGCAGCTGTGACTGAAGATGTCGCAGAGAACCCCTGGAGTAGCGATCAGACGATATGCCACGCGATTGGACATCGTTCGGCGTATTCTACAGAGAATTTCGGTGAAAGACTTGAAAATATTCGCTTGCAAAGTGCTATCCTGAATCTCAACCATCAGAAAGACAACTTTTCATCGAAAATCGTGATGAGTGACGAGGGACATTTCCATCTCCGTGAATATTGTGAATCAGTAGAATAATTTAATGCTCCTAAAGCAACGAAAATCCGCATATAACTGTGCTGTTTTTGGGGAAACGAAGCCAGGTTTTATTTTCTAGAAAACGCTGCTGGCCGAAAGACAACTGGGGACGGCAGGACCTTCTCAATTGGATGAATTTGGACTAAATAATTTGTCAATAGGACAGAGCAACGATGTATTCAGAGTGTTGCATTTCTCGTTCGCCTAATCTTTGCTTTGGTGATTTGCTTGTCGGGCAGATCACCGGATTTAATCACTCCAGAACTATTTTTGTGGTATTTCTTGAAGTCACGAGTCAATGTCAACAAGTCTAAGATGCTTGGAGCCCTCAAAGAGAATATCCATAAATTAGAGTCCGTATGGTCTTCAATTCTGACGGCGGCCACTTACTTGTCCGATATCATTTTTTCGTTATAATGAAAAGAATAAAAGTATCGATTAAACACAATCCAAAAGCAAAACCAGAGGCAATTGTCATCTTTCTGACAAACTTTCGCTGTGCCAAATAAAGAGAAGAAAGCACTGAACGACCCAAACCTCGGGCATACTGATGGCTCCATTAACTCTACTGTAGCACATTAAAGTTATGGGCAATGAAATAGCAGACACCCTCGCCCAGAAATTTATAGGTGCAGGAACCTTCATCGATCTGCAATGGAGCTCCGTTATGAGAAACTATTATATCTGGGTTCAGAAGATATGACTTGACTTGCTGGATACGACTTCACTTAACTTAATTCGGACTGATTTCACTGGACTTGCTTTGTCTTGAAAAGTGTTGCATAACAGTTATGTTCAATATACTTTGTTTATAATTAAATAGTTAGCCACTACATAGTTGAACATAACTTTACTTTAAAGTCTATTGAATTTTGATTTCCACGTAAATTGTTATTGGAAACATAACTTTGCGATGAATGCAGCATAATCACGACTATAGCTCTGTCTGCAGCTCTCAAGAAAAACGAAAAATGCATATAAAATTACGCGCAAGAAATTGAAAAGAAATTTTCTTCTACCAAAATTGTTTAAACCCATTTATTTCTTCAAGAAAGTTGACAGCAACATCAAACAACGTTTTCAAGCAACAGAAATAATTCAAAATATTTCTTGTGATTTTTCTTGAGAACTGCAAACCGGCCTTATGTTTGAAAAGCTAAGTTTGTATACACAACCAAGCATCACGAGGAACAGAAAAAATTGTGAAGTCCTCAGCAGGCCCAGAGATAACTTCCTAGAGTCACCGTATCTAGAAGCCTAAGACCTAAATAACTTTCATCCAAAGTACCTTACGATTCATAAGAACAATCACGATTTTAAAATCGAAAACAAATGCGATGAAAATCAGTTAGAAAAAATCGATGAAAAAATGTATATGTATACTTTTACATGAATATGTTCTTACCGCTATTAGACTACTGCTCACAACAGCCTTTCCACCTTTGGTGGTGCTCGTATTGAAGTGTTCGATTACCTCCCAATTGGATTTTTTCGGTGTCGCCGCGGAACTTTGTTGCGATAATTGTTGATGTGACTGCTGTGATGGAGTTTGAAGTTCCAAAGTACCCTTCGGCGCGCTCGCTTGCTTCAGCGATGAGGAGCGATTAAAGAATTTATGCTTGTGCTTTGGTTCCTTTTTTCAATATTTTAAGGAAGGAAGAATGGAAAGGAAGAAATTGAAATTGAAATATAAAAATTAAACTCAAGCTACAAGTTGCTGAGCTTTCAAACATATGTATGTATGTACTTTAGGGTGTACCACTTTTCGTAAACACATAACGTCGGTAGTATCATATTTTAATATTTCCGCCAAAATATTTCCGAAAAAAAATTTAGTTGCAAATGTGCTGAACCGATTTCAAAATATTTCCAAAAATCTAGTATTCTATAAGTAAATTAGTTTGAAAAATAACTCTTTCCAATGCATAAATAATGTGATTTTTGCAAGTATTTTCAAATAGGCTCAGCTTACATAAATCTTAATATTTTTCGAAAAATTTTTAACGAATGCCTTATGGCCATATTCATAAAAAATTAAATAGGTTTAAAGAGCTCCATATATAAAGTGACATTTTTATACAAATTTTCGATTTACAAAGCAGTTAAAGTGTTCTTTCTTTTTTATAAATTTGGGTGTTGGACTATAATAAATTTCATAGTTCCGATGGATATATTTTTAGTGAGGCACCCTAATGTGGTAATATGTACATGGTGTAGTTTACGAGTCCAGTTATTACTTGTAAGAGTGCTTGAAAAGTCAACATTACTGACAAGGTCAGTCTTGCTGTTTGCATTGCGCTAGTCAAGAACTGAGCTAACGCTATGAAACAAGTCAAGTGATATTTAGCCAGCTTGTGTAGGATGCAGATATGCAAAGTGCAAAATTATTTTCGCTCCATAAATACTTATTTACCTCTTTGCTGGTGTTGCTGCTCCCGGCGCTACCACCTCTACGCATTCCACGCAGTGACAAACGTTTGGACCAATCATTTTTCTGACTCTCGGAGGACAACGAACGAAAGATCTGCGTGGATGCTGAGGTGGCCGTCGGCGCTG